CACCACCATAATGCACCTGCTCACACTTCGTTGCTTGTTCGTGAATTCTTGGCAAAAAACAATACTGTAACGATGCCCCAGCCTCCATATTCGCCAGACATGGCTCCGTGTGACTTTTTCCTATTTCCAAAAATAAAGAGAATCTTAAAGGGCCGTCGTTTTACAAGCATAGATGATATTAAAAGCGCATCGCTGAAAGAGCTAAAGGCTATCCCAAAAATCGAGTTTGAGAAGTGTTTCGATGATTGGAAGAAGCGCTGGCGTAAGTGCATAATATCGAATGGGGACTATTTTGAAGGCGACAACATTAATGTAGACGAATGAATAAATATTTTTTCCAAAATACGGAAATTCCCGTCATTTTTTGAACACACCTCGTATTAGTTTACTACGGTTGAAGTCCAATTTAATAATCGTCAGCTAAAGCTAAATGTTCAGTTTCAATGATCCCAAGTCGATAACCTCAGTATCACCTCCCCTCCATTCAAGAATGTCCTCAGTTTAATGCAAACGTCCATTGCTACCCAATGAAACCTGAAATGGGGGTTTAACTGTGTACAAAGGTGGAAATCAGTTTTAATACAGACTGAAGAAGGGTGTAGCCCACTGAAATGCAGCTTTAAATGATTTACTCATTTGGTTGCACATGTTAAAGGATGATAAGGTGTTTCTAAAATTAAGTTCCTGGGTTCCCAGGCAAACAGATGGAGTGGATCTCACTTACAAGTTTTACACCGTCTATATGCAACGACATTTACTGTTCCTTTATTCGATACTATTACACTATATGTTTCGGCCTCAGTGGCCATCTTCAGGTGAAAAGGTGTTACAGACAAGGATGCTACTGCTCACAACACATGTTCAGCTGAAGATGGCCAGTTAGGCCAAAACATGTAGTGAAATAGTACTCAATAGAGGAACGGTGAATGATGTTGCACTTAGATGGCGCAAAAACTCCTAGATCAGATCTATTATGTGCAACAGGATGCTGAAATGTAACACTGGTTTCAGTAAGTGATAGAACGTGTTTTATTTCTTACAACTGAATATAACTTGTGTCTTGTTAAAATACAAACAGCATTTCTTTGAAGTAAAACATATCAGCACTTAAACATCTGACTCTTAATTAATAAAATGTATATCAATCATACTTTCTGAATTTCCTTAATCCACCGGTTGACACCGTTCTGTAGCTGATTGAGGAATGATGAGTCCTCTACTTTCTCTCCAAAATCTGCAACTTTAGGTTTACGGCCTTCGTCTCCACAACGCTTGATGACAGCTGCAACAGTCTGGTGCACCGGAAGAGAAATTTCAGGGATGTCGATGTTCTGCTGCAGATGCAGCAATCCCATCTCAAGCTCAGCCATCTTCTTCTCCACAGAAGGCGCCATTTTATCTCCATCTCTTCAAATATTTAAGAATCCAAAATTTATAACACATCCGTCAAATTCTTTGATGATTCACAGGCTCAATTTGGTTCCTGGAGATATGCTCTCCCCCTACTACCCTGATGTTTATGTTTCATTTTAACCTTGCAAGGGAAAACCACCAATAATTATTTTGCCAACAGCCAAAGACCAAATCAGCTGTCAAAAGAAATTTCTGTATTTCTGGAACCTAATGTTCATAACAAGTGCGACAAAAATCTATCCAGACTAGCTTTCAAAAGTCAGGAACCAAGTATAAATTAGGAAACTAATATCAAATCAATATGTGTTAAACATGGTGACCATATGCGACAAAACCTTCTCAGGTGATCAGTTCCATGAGGAAGGAGTCAGAACCCATTGTTTAGGAGACTGCCTCTGCCTACTCTTCCTCAGGCAGTCTGCACCAGTTAACCTGTCACTCACCATACCAACTCATTGATGGAGAAACAGTCTCCGAGATGAAGAAAGCAGTCTTCTGGGATTTGGCACCGTGTATAAGTGGTGTTAACCGACATTTCGGAGGAACGTCGGTTAACACCACTTGTACACGGTGCCAAATCCACAAAGACTCCTTTCTTCATAGTCACTGCCGTGAAAGCCTCAAATCTTACAGTCTCCGAGATGTTCGATACCAACTCCAATTTCTTTTTCACATATCTGATTGCCTGAGAAGGCTTCACTGCAGTTACAGCAAGCTATTAAGTGTCACGGACCTCTAAGCACTTCCTTGTCGGCCTTCATAAGCCAAACGTAAACAACTTAATCATTTCTGTTATAAGAATGTTTCCCCAATTATTCGGTTTTAATGTCTTTGTCCCCAACAGAATATTTTTGGGGGATTTTACTGACCTGTCTGCACGTCCTGACTCCTTCACATACGATTTGAAGTACGGAGCCATGGTTTTGCTGATGAATGCATGAAGTGTCTCATATGGAGAACCTTCACTGAAGTTGATGAGTCGCAGCTGGGAGTGAATGGCCTTGTCCGCTTCAACAACTGCTCCCCTCTTGATACAGACCATGCTAGAAGAATTATGTATATTATGTACCTGAGCAAATGAGGATGAAATTGCAGCTACCCAGGGAAAATAACTCTGCACCTTATTAACCCATCAATGGACATGCATGTATACTTTCTGACTGCATGTCAAACACATCAGCTTGGGCAAAAAAGATGTCTCGTACTGCAATTTCTGGTCACATGACTAATTCCAAAGAGCAGGGCTATTTTTGAGAAGGTGACAGTCACTCAGCTGGTTAAGAAATTCTATGTCTTTTATGAAACCAGACACCTAATTATCATGCTCAAAACATCCCATCACTTGATCAATATTTATTCTTGTTACAATAAAGCTCATTCATCCAGTTTCTTAGAAGTTAATCAGTATCCATGTTAAAATGGCTTAGCAATAAAACAACATCCCTGTCAAACACAACAGCATGTAAAGGGAAGGGAGGATGATCATGAATGGTTGAGTCAGCAAGGATATGGAAAAAGGTGATTACTGTAACGTTCACTTTGAGAAATTGTGGCAAATCACAAGAATTCTGTCACAATTACAGGTAATCTGACCAAGATCTGAACTGAGTACCTGCCAAATACAAATCTGCAATATCAACCTTTAAACCAACGTACTGTATATCTTTTTGAAACAGAAATTAGGGATAGTATTTCATTGGCAAGTTTCACTCTGCTTCACACGCCACCCACTTCACTGTTAGGGATCCAGTACCCACTGGATAGGAGACTGGGTGGGCTCTACAGCTGAACTGGAAGCTATGGAAGAGAGAAACTCTCACCCCTGTTAGGAATCAAATTCTGATTCCTCTCTCACCCAGCCCCTAGCGTGATCATACAGTAGCCAAGACACACCAGTTCCTTCCTCATTTCATTCTAATATCAGCGCTTCTCTTTACTCCATTCTGAGAAAAATCAAGTTCTTATTCATTCATCAGTAATCTGTCAGATGACAGGTCCACAGTCTCTTCCAAAACAGTTCCTCAACTTTTGCCATGGCAATCCTAGATTTAATTTCACACGTACACCTTCCATCATCTGTTAACAAGCTAGCCAAATATTTAAAACATTTCACATTCTCCAGTTGTTTTTGGTCTATCTTTATTGTGACTGGGGTTGGTTGTCTCAAAATTTTCATTACTTTTGTTTTTTCCACATTCATTTCCATGCCATAGCACCTTCCAATTTTGATTAGTCTATCAATCGTACCTTGTAACACAGTTTCTTCCTTAGCCATTAACACAAGGTCATCTGCATATTTCACACTTTGAATAATTTGCCCTCCTAATTTGAAGTCTCCAAGCCCATCCAGAGCTTCTTTGGTAAGGCATTCGCTGTACAAGTTGAACAAAATTGGTGATAAACAGCATCCTTGTCGAACTCCTCTTCCAATCTGCACACTTCTTGTCTCCCCATTGTCCAGTCGTACTCTAACTTTCTGATCCATGTACAATTTACTAATCAATCTTCTTTCATGCCAATTGGTACTTGTTTCCTTTAGGATCTGCATTAATTTGGTCCAATTTACACAGTCAAATGCCTTCTGCCAGTCTATAAAGCAAGCACACAGTCTTCATCCATCTCCAAAGTTCGTTCCACTATAATTCTCATTATCCCAACTGCATCCCTGGTTCCTTTTCCTCTTCTAAATCCAAACTGATCCTCTCCAAGTATATCCTCTATTTTCCTTTCAATTCTTCTTTTAAGTATCTTGGCTATTATCTTTGCTGTATGTGCAATAAGACTTATTGTGCGATGGTCGCTGCATTTTGTAGCTTTTGTCTTTTTCTTTAAGGCAATCATTGTAACTTCTGTAAAGTCCTTGGGCCACTCTCCACTTTCATATATGGTGTTCATTAGTTTTGTCAGTGTTTTCAAACCACCTTCTCCCAGTAACTTGAGCACATCTCCAGGTACATCATCATCTCCTGTAGCCTTTCCCTTCCTCATTTCCTTGATAGCTTTTTCCACCTCACTTTGTAAAATATATGGTCCTTTCTCGTCTGTATCTACTTCTTCTTCCGGTTCAACTTCTAAGGTTTCTGGCCGATTAGGTCGATCATATAGTTCTGAAATATAATTTTCCCAAATTTTCAGCACTTGCCTCTGATCTACTATTCTATTCCCCTGGGAGTCTTCGATGCCAACATTTTGAATCCCATGGTTCTCTTTCCATCCTAGTTCGTCTTCATGTACACAAAATCATAACGTCCTGTCCTTTGAAATTCTATAATCTCATTATATATCTTCTCAAGATATTCCTTTCTGGCCCTGTCCGTG